CAGGCTTCAGAGTGTGGGTCCTGCAGCACGCAGAACCCCCAAAAAACAACCCTGGAGCTGGAGTAGATGGTTTGCGTACTGCCTGTGCTGGTGATTTTTCTAAAAGGCTCTTTTTAGCTCTGAATCGAAGATTTAAACAGTCACCGATAAAATCTCATAACGTTGGCTGCTTAAAAAATCAGAAGTGCAGAAAGTGGCGTCATGAAAGGGAAGCAGGGCTGCTGAATAAGTGTTTTGTGTAGGAGTTTGAGAACTGCTCTCAATTCCTCCCCCGTGCTTTCCCATGCTGCTTCAACATTGTTTTTCTCCCCTCCTATTTCATGTTCAATAGCTGAAAATGCAGTGACAGGATTCATCCAGGGTATCACACTAAGGTTGTCACACTGACCATGTAATTGTGAAGGATTGTGATTTTGTGCTGGGGCTTCTCACAGCCTGGGTGTGCAGAGGTTGGTGTTGCAGGTAACACCTCCGAAGTTGCCTTCTTCATTTCTATGATGCTAATTCTACAACGTGATTGCATAAGCAGGAAACATGGTAATATAGCTGAGGCTTTCATTTCAGCATCCAAGCTCAGTATATTTAGATTGATTTATTAGGATGTGACACAGAAAGATATATCAAATAATCCAAACCTGTCATTCTGTGGTTTTAAAGTAGAAATGACCACTAACGGTTTCAGCACCAGAAACACACTGGAGTTCTCTGTTGATTTTATGTTATACTGAGGTTGCTTCTGTACGTTAATCTGTAATTATGCACGTGCTTTGACAAATTACACAAAAATTATTTAGTGTGTCTTATTAATGAGGCAAGCTTCAAAAGACCAATGATGAAGTTTAAAAAACGTACCTCTGAAAGTTGTACCAGTGAACATGTATGTGAACCGGATGGTAATTGACGTACAACTTCGGTAACCTTAGTTAGCTTTTCATGTTATTTATTGGTATGCAAAACTGGTTGTCTCTTATATGAAATTCTGGAACCTTTTAAAGTAGTTTTTATTTGTGGTTGCAATCTGAATTTTAAGTGCTGAATGCCACTGCTGAGAATATGTTTCGATCCCTAAGTTTGAGAAAGTGGGCAATGCAAAGCACTTTCATACAATGGAACGAGGCTGACAGTCTCACTTTCCTTCCACTTCATGTTTTATATTTCCTTTTCTAATTTGGAGAAGTTTTCTGAGCTGAGTTTTGGGAGACTATTTGCTTTGCTGGCCTGCAGAGGGTATTGTTCACTGTTCCTTGAGTGGTACCATCTTGGCTAGTATCTTACCTGCCCGAAAATATAAAACTAGTGCCTCCTGCCTCCACTCCTGGCCCCGACTATTTTGTGTTACATATTGGGATGTATTCTCATATTGCAGAGACACCGATTAGCAGAAATATCATTACAAAAGAGTGGTATTGAATTTTGAATTATACAATCTCTGCAATGATACCAATATTTCAGCATTCCCTGTGGAGAAGATTTGTACCTTTTAAATAGTTTTTCTCGTGTACAGTTCCTACTCAGCAGTATGGGGTATGAGATGGAGATGGGAGGTTTTTCTGAAATCTAAGTACTTGCTTCTACAGGTAAATAAATGAAGGTTGTGTTTAAAGTGCTAGCATTTTGCTTTGTTAGATTGTTGTCTGTTTGAGGTATTTGGCAGGATTTATCTGTACAAGTGACACTTAAAACCTTACCGCGATTTTGAATATGTCTTCTTCTATTTATAGATTTGGTTTTTACTTTGAGAGAAGGTCTGAAACCCCAGAAAAATTATGACTTTTACTGTCAGTCCTGTGGTGACGTCATAGCAAAAGACCGGTGAGTACTGCAGTGTCTTGTATTTATAGCAATAAATGCTTTAGTGATTTGTATTCAGGTTATTTTGTGTACTTAGGGAGACAGCTAAAAGGTATTTATTTTGAAATTGATAGATGAGAACACTTTTGAAGCACTACGGTTGACTAAAAGCAAAATTACCTGAAACAGTTTTTCACTGTTTATTCATTTACTTCTTGATTTCATTCTGTCTGGAAAGTAGAAGTACCTTACAAAGGGAGTTTGATGCATTGCCCTGGAAGCTGGGAAATCTGGATTCTTTTCCTGCTCCTCTGCTGTGCTTTTAGTGAGACATTTCCATTTGTAGCTGGACTTTGTTACATGTAAAATTTCTGCTTTGAGAGCTATGCTTTTTGTTCATACAGAATCTATTTGCATTGATCATAGTAGGTTCTGGTTTTGCTGCATAAGCAAAAAGGGGTAGTTTTTTGGCCTGGAAATATTGCAAATATTCATAGTTTACAATGGTTTCAAAAATCCTTATAGTTTATTAGTTGTTGCCATCTTTGCTGTGTTGAAGGGAACAAAACTGAAAATTTGAGCTCTGACTTCTTTCTTCCTCTGCACATCAGAGATCCTATTCAGTTTTGCTCAATCTCTTAGAAATTCCCTTCCATGACCATGCTGTAGTGATAGGGTGGCTGTTCAGAATGAGGATGTCAGCCACGGCTCCTATCTACCTGTTATGCAAAGCCAACCTTCACATAGTTCAGGGATGCTGAATTTGGGAAACGCAGGAGCTGTTCCTTAGCTGTGTGACTCGGCCTTGTCTCTGTTCCTTACAGTCTGCAGAATGAGAATTTTAATAAAAAGCTCCTGCATCTGGCTCTTCTGATGAACAATTTTGACAGCTTCAGCTGGACACATGAGAATTGTTAAGAGATGAACTCACAGCCTTTTATGATCTGCAGCACTCCTAACACTCAGAATGGTGATACACATGTGATTCATTCTGTAACTCCTGTTACTTTCTTGTCATACATATGGTGTTATGGCTGACTTGAATGTAACTGAAGTTTCCTAGCTGTCTCTTCTGAAATGTCTAGTAGTAGATAATAAGCCTTACTTTGATACATTTGTAGAGTAATGAAACTTACAATTTCTAGTCAGTAACATTTGCTTTCAAAAGAGTTTGCACTTTGATATTTTTGTCTCCGAGTGGGTATCTTCCTGTATTTCATCACACCAAGTTCATATGTATAGATCTTTTGGTTCTGCATCCTATAACAGGACACAATCAGAATTTTTGAGAAAGGATAAAGAAGTCATGTTCATGACGCTTTGGTTGGCATTTCTTCTTGCAGGGAACCTCTGAGCCCCTTGAATGTTATCACTAAAAAATTATTAAGACTAGTGTAGAAGAATGGAGCTGCCAGTGTATCTGACACCTTTTGTTCCAGCACTTCCAAAAGGAAGGCAGAACATAGTCAGTACTTTCAACTGCAACATTTGTGTGTTGGCCTCTCCAGGGAGAGTGATTCTGACAATGATTCTGACAGTCAGTAGGATCGGAGGGGAGTTACAGAACTGTGTGAGGAGGAACTTAAAGTGTGAAATGATAGGAAAGAGTCCAAGGAAAACCTGGGGTCTGGAAAATGGTACCTTTGAGAAGAAATTGAAATAAATGGGATTGAGTTTAGATAAAGCTGTGTAGAAGGTGTCAAACTCTTCCAAATAGATAAGAAGTTGCTGCAAAGAGTGTTGCAGTAGTCTGATTGAAGCAAGAGGACTTTAGGGGAAAATGAAAAAAAAAAAAACAAACCACTCCCCACACCTACTCTAAAGCTTATTTTTTGCTGTTAGAGACTGCATAGGAAGCCATCATTTTAAAGACTAGATTAGAGATAGAAGTTAGGAATGATTTAAATGTAAGTGATCTTTCCTTGATGCAAGAAAATGGCCTCTATTCATTTTCTGAAATCCCCTGTCTTAGTCTGTTTCCTCCCATGAGTCTGATAGCTCTTCAGAGGTTAGGGTTATGTTCTCTGATTCTTCTCCATTACCTACCTTACAGGAAGTGATTAGATTTTTTTTTTCCTTACTTGATTTAAGAGCTGCAAAGAATTTGGGATACTTTTTTTTTTCTTTTCCTCTCATCCCAGGTAGGTGAAATGTAGCTCAGCTGCAAAATAATTATTTAAGAGTTTATTTCTGTCATGAAGAAATTCTTAAAGGCTGAATGTTGCAAAAAAGAAATTTCTAAATTGACTATTAAGCAGTAAATATTTTCCTTAGTCCAAACATTAAGAATTTGTACTACATGAGTACTCTGTTGAAAAACTGATGGCAGGGGAAATCTTCTAATTACACATTGCCTACATAAATAGCTTTAAATATGCCAATTAACTGTCAAGCTGGGCTGTCCAATATTTTTTAGTAAATAAATAAGGAAGACTAATGTTGATGAAATTCAGTTGGACTATTTTCTTCCTCTTTTTCTCTTATGGAATGGAAGGGTTACATATTTAAAAGTCTAAAGTCCATTTTATTTCCAGTTTTTGGAATTTTCAATAGAGGGTAAAGAAAGGGTAATATAATGAAACTGGACAGCATTAGTCTGCAGCTTAAGGCAATCTGTCTTTTTTTCCCAAGTATTTCAAGTATACTTGAAAAAACATTGCTGAGCCATACCAGCTTTTTGTTGCTGTAGTGTAAAGAGCAATACATAGGAATGAAGACTTCTTATTTTTAAGTGTGAGTCCAGGCATTGGAACTAATTGCACAAGGTTGACAAATAATCAGTCATTAGGTGAACACCCGAATTAAGGTCCCACCATGGCAGAATTGTGGTTGTATCCCAGACAGCATATAAGACCAGAGAGAGTGATGACAGCGATGAGTAGTGTCGAGATCTTAGTTATGGTGAAGGAGGATCAGAGGACGAGCTGTTCCAACTTTGATCTGCAGGTGGGGCAAGCACAGTTCAAAACGTATTGTCGAGCTAGACAGAAGGAAGTTTTTATAAAAGATTTTACTTTTACACCAAACCGTACAGAAGGCAGAAGAAACTACGATGGGAAGAACTGATGTCAGAAAAGAACAACAATCTGTGAACTGCAGGAAAGTGTCTAACTGTTAGCAGCCCTGCATTTATTCGTGAAGCAGCACCATAGGCAAAGTTGTGTTTGCATGTTTTAAGTGAGCAGTAGAATCAGGAAACTCTGCCTAAAGGTTCAGGCAACAGCAGAAGAAGTAAGGGAATAAAAGGAAAGCACTCAAGGAAACCAGGCAGAGAGCAGGAAGCACAGCTCTGCAATGAGCAGTGCATCTAGAAAACTGTCAGGGGGGTGCACACTGTTAAAGCCATTGTCCACTGTTTAGTAAAGGGGCTGAATTTCTTCCCAGTGCAATAGTTTTCTACAAAACACGGATTAAAGAAAGTGTAAATATATGGACGGTATCCATCAGTGCTGCTTAATAAAAGTATGTGTGGTGGGACCACAGAATGGCTGTAAGAGCTGTAGGCAGGAAAGAATTGACCATTCACTCATAATGGCCAAGCTGGTGCTTATATAGCCACCTGCAGATATTCTAGCTTTAAGACTATATTTTACAACTTGGTGATTCCTGACTTGGGCACTTGGGCTTATTAAATCATCTGAGACTCTCTGTAACCAAAGAAAGTTAGTTAAAACCAAATACCAATTATGGAGGCAAAGTCTGGTGCTGCTTGGGGCAATATATACAGCTGACCAGGAGAAAGAGATTTGGGTTTTTTTTTGTACATGACTTCAGAAAGTTGAATCTGAATCTAAATTAAGAATGCATTATCTATTTTTTTTTTTTTTAATTAAGATATACTGTGGTATTTTTTTCAGGATATAGCTTTTTCAGTGGCTGGTATCTTAGGGGCTTCAAATGACATGCTCTCCCTTGCTCTGGCAGCAGTCTGTTATTTTTATATTGGTACTTGTTGCGAGGCAACTTTACAAGAAGTAATAATAAATGTAATTGCAAAATGCCCATTGTTACATTTTTCATGACTGGATAGAATTGTTTTATTTTTGCCATGTAACTCATCTCAAGAGAGGATTATGCCAAGTTCTGCGTTATAATCATTGGAGATTCACCCTTGGGAAATGCTTCATTGCAAACTTGGCAGGAAACAGCCACTGCTTTCTCAGAATTCATCCACAGAAAGTGCCTTTGACTGAAAGGAGAGCCAAACACTTCCCTTTGAGAAAATGCCATACTGCCCCCACCCTCCCCTTTTGCAAGGCGTCTAAGTTCTCTTTTAGTGTCTTAAAAAATAATACAATATATTGGAACTTTTATTTTCTTCTTGTCTTTTAGGAATTTTCTCAGAGTTCTTCCTCTGCCAAGTGAAAACTGGAGTGCTTTAGTGGAAGAGTGGTGTTGTCACGCTAATCCCTTTGCCAGAAGCTCTTTGCACCCTCAGCATCATGACTGTTTTTTTGGGGACACGTTTTTTCTGTTGAATTCAAGAAATGAATCACATGTGCCTGAATCTCCCATGTGCTGCTCAGAGACTGGACACCATGCTTCTCAGAGTGGCTCCAACTTGGTAAAGTATTTTCTTCAAATAATTCTTAAGTGAGGACCTTTTTCATTGTAAACCCCTTGATTTTGGTCACTGGTTTATTTAACTTGTGTGTATTACAGAGCTGTTTTGAAGGCCATAGGGAGTTATTGACATTAAGCTGTATCGAAGCCAGAAAATCTTCTATGATGTGATTTACAATTTCTACAGCGAGCACCATGGCCTTGAGGTTGACTTAGATATGCAAGAATTTCTTCCTTTAAAATGAATTCGAAAGTAGTTAATTTTATAGTTCTAAACCATCTATTTTCAAAAAAAAAAATGTCCTGAGTGAAGGACATCAACATTTAATAAGATGGGTTAGATGTTTGTCAGAGGGTAGTGGCGCAAAGAGGGAGAAGGAAACTGGAGTAACAGTGCTTTGCTTTTTCTTCTCAGACTATGACGGGGTGCATAACCATGAGTATGATCAAAGGAAGGTGTGATTTTATTTTTTTTTTAGCTTTAGAAAGATTTGAAAAAATCAGAATATGTTTTGAGTTCAGATGTGGCTGTCTTACACTCTTAGAATATAGTAAGGAAATTGTGTTTGACTGTTGTGTCATGTGAAAAGGACTTGCCACACCAGGTTAGAACTCTCCATGTTGATTTTTCTGAGGTGTTCCAGGAGGAGATATATCCATCAGCTGAGTCTCTGGGAGGAAGGCTGTCATTTGGTTTAGAAACATCAAAGTTTGTTGTTTTCCAGAAAAAAAAAAAAGGATCTATAGGGATACTAATGTTTCAGTGGTGGGATAAAACCCATGAAGAAAGAGAATTCTGTGCATCACTCATCTTGGAAATCTGGCACTTGTGTAAAAGTTCAAGCAATAATCTTTTCTTCTACCAGAAGAACATCCAGGAACTTAGTTCACCAAAGCTTATGTTTCCATAAAGCCTTTTCTGTTATGCTGCTGCTTGTGTATATTTGTGCTGACAAAGGTTGAGGCTGCAGATGCCATCTTTTCTTCCATTACCCTGTATTAAGCCTAATTACTGAAATCCTCCTACAGTTATGGGAACTGCTGCTGCCGTGGCAACTTGTGTCCGTAACAGCTGATGGTTTGCTATGTATAGATTCCCAACATGAAACTTTTAATATGTTGAGAAGTAACAATAGAGACCTTGATTCCTGGCTGCTGCTGCTTATCATTGTTAGGGATTTGTTTTATCCCCAGTTAAATCACCAGGATTCTCACAGTTCAGTGGTTGCTGGTGCAGTTCATCTAACCGAGCTGTTTGCTGGGGGAACAGTTCTGTCCTGGGGTCCATATCTGCAAGTCTTGCAGCTGTGGTCCCTTTGGTTTCTTATTCCATTGTTCTTTGAAAAGCAGAGTATGGGGAGGGGAAAATAAGACTTGACACCCTGAAAGGATATCAGCATGGGAAAAACAGATTAATTTGGATTAACTCTGTGGCAATTTGAGTTATTCCTTCTAAATATCCTTAAGAAAGAGGCTGAGCAGAAGATTCCTAGTTTCCAAGAGGACAATTCTTTCTGCCAGAGGTCCCTAAAATGAATTATCTCACATTTCAGTAGTCTCAAAAGAGATCTGAGAACAGTGGGAACAAAGATGGGAAGAGGCAGGGTGCATGGAGTTCATATTGCAGCCCAAACACGGGGGAGCAGTCTGCCCAACACACTTCTTTGATCAGTCAGGGAGAATGTTTGCCAGGAAAGGATTATTTTTGAGGCAGAATCATGGTAAAAGGATGTGGGAAAAAGATGTTACTGAGATGTGGGTCAAACCAGGATAAAAGCAGAACTTTTGAATGAAGGAGGAGGCTATTTGCTGTCAGAGGCATACAATAGTAGTTCACTGTGATGCATTTTCATATTTGCTTCCTTAAAATCGCATTGAAATTGAGAATTCTTTCCTTGTTTGAGTCAAATCCCTCTTTCTGCATCTTCCAAGCTTGCAATGAATTCTCATTTATGCATTTGCTTATTTCCATCATCACTTGGTTGCCAAGCAAATAAGCAAAACTGTAAGATCCAGTATAAACTGGACTAATAAGGAAAAAAACCTTTTACTGAAACAGAAAAATCTTGCATAATACGAATAATAGAAAATTACAGGCAAGGTAGAATCCTATTGGAATAAATGTGTTCATTTCAGAGAATATTGTCGCAGTCTGCCCCAGTATGAAAGTTCTTTTTTAATTGCATCGCAGTTCTTCGGAAAGTGTTTGCCTATGACCAAAATAGTAGCAG